TTTGCTCGAACATGTATATTTGATTTTTGGGTAAATTTGAATTTACCAATTTTTTTCAATTTTTTTTTTTTAAAACGTATTTTAAAAATACGTTTTAAACCAATTTAAAAAATGAAAAAATATGAAACCGTATATAAGCAATACGTTTTTTATTTTTAAAAAACATAAAAAAAACGAATATTTATACGTATTTATGAAATACGTTTTACTTTTTAGAAAAATTCAAAAAAAAAAAAAAATTTAAAACGTATTTTATATATACGTTTTGTTTAATAAAAAATATTTAGAAAAATGAAATTTTGTAAACCGTATTTAAGAATTACGGTTTCATGTTGATTAATTATATTAATTAAGCTAATTAAGAAAGACGTATTCTATGAATACGTTTTCATTTGAATAATTATATTAACCGTATTTAACGAATACGGTTTACAAATATTTTATGCAAAAAACGTATTCCTTGAATACGTGCTTTTTACTTTTGTTCACTCTTTTTTTTTTGTCCACTTATTTATTGTTTTTTTTTTGGTAAAATTTCTTAAATGTTGTCTTTTACGTAAATCTATATCTATATAATGGACTAATCCTTATTGCCATAATTATTAAATTTTGGGCGGGAAATTTTTTTGGCTAAATTTGGCATTTGATTAATATTTATTTATTAGAAAATCTTATGTATCAAAAACATAATTATTTTTTATACACTCAATGATTGTTACTCATTAATTACAAATTAGTTTAAACTAAAATTTTGACTAGATTTATTGGATATAATTTCAATAAGATCTTACATTAATTTAATAGTAATTTATTGATACAATTCAAAAAAAATTATTATGAAAATAGTTTTGATTAAATATATTATCATCTATAGTTGTAGCAATTAATCTAATTAATTATATTCACTATTTATAAGAACCTAAAATATTTAATAAAATAATAAGAATAACTATATTTAAATCATAATAACTTAATAAATAATTTAAAATATTAATAAAAGTTTTTAAAATGTAGTCAATTTAACTATAAAAATGTACATCACATTGAATATATCATATAATAGTAATGAAAATTTAAATAACATATAAATAAAAATAAATTTTGATGGTCGGGTGCAATTCATAATTATAAATTTCACCCTAGAAGTATCTATGTACATTAAAAAACTATTCAATTTTTAAAAGTATATATTTTTTTTCTTATATACTACTTTATAAAGAAAGAATAAGTTAATAAAAAAACAATGTATAATAATATAAAATATAGCACTTGGTAATTATGGAAATATATAATATATCTAAATATTCAAAGAGATACTACATAACTCATTATATAGGTTGAAAACATGAATTAGAGAAATAAATATAAATAAAAATGAAAACATAAAAATAAAATATTTAACCATAAAAATTTATGTGTTGAATAAGGATTAAAGTTACTAAAAATTAAATTTCATTTATCAAAATTTTGAACATTTAATGCATTTAATAATTATAACGGAAGATAAATATTATGGGTTAAACGATCATCATCAATCAATGCGCAAATTATGAATTATTGAAAAAATTATAAGACTTGATAAACGGCAATTTTATCAGTACATACAAGTAATTTGTATGCAAATATCATATGATCTTATACATTTATAATATTTTATAAACTAATAAATAATAAAAATTATATATTAAATAGTCAAAAACTACAAAAAAAATATATAAAAATAAAAATTAACAATAATAGTAAATAAATAAATGTCATATTATTACTTAATAGGAAATTGTATAGAATAGAATATTATATTGTCTTAAATAAATTTATAGTATTTAAATAAAAAATATTTTATTCTATTGCACCCGTGAATGGCATTGGTATCAACACTAGTACATAATTAATTATAGGTGTATGATGTAATTGTAACATTTTAATTTTAGCGATTTCATATTATTTGGGCTTTGCAAAAAGCTCAAGGGCTATGTGCCCACTAGATTTGGGGGTCGTCTGCATAGAAGGGTCTCACCTTCTCAACTTCACCTTCTCTGGATTCATGGCTATGAAATCGACACCCGATCTTTAAAACAATCGACCGAGGCCCGGTCTGCGACTCCCATGGAAACCCATTCGCACTCCATTCGGGTGCTCGTTCGTCCACCTCCCGTCCCAGGCTCCGGCGCCAATCTTCCTCCACAATTCCCACCACCGCCGCCGGCTGCTGACACTAATTCATTCCCTAGAAACGGCGTCGTCGTTGTTGGGTTCATCGGGAGGCGACACCATGATGTAGCTCACCTCATCAACAAGGTAATTGATTCACACGTTTTTGGCTCCGGGAATTTAGCCAGCTCCTTTCGCTTAGAACCCGATAAAATCGACCTAGAGATGGGTAAATGGTTCGAGAGCAGGCGATTGAGCTTTTACCACGACGAGGACCGGGGGATTTTGTACGTGCAGTTTTCTTCTCTCCGCTGCCCAATGATTGGGGATGGGTCTTTGGAGACCCGGGTCGGGCTTGAGCCCGTTTTTGAGGAACAGGAGTTAGGGGAGCTTCAGGGCTTGATCTTTATGTTCTCTGTAAGTTTTCTGTCTGCATGTTAGTTGTTGTCTCTCTGGAGCCTATGATATCTCGCATTCAATCTGATGCTTAAGCTTTAGTATCATATGTCCAAGTAGGATATATATGGAACTGACGTTGAGCTTTAGGAATGGGATTAGGATAATGGACTTACTCGATTTTAGATACCGAATGAATGTAGTGTTGCTTACAAAGGAAGATATTTTTGGGTTCCCACTTTTGGCCCCAATGCACCAGCTGCAAATAACTTGAAATTCATGCTCGAATGCTTAAGTTCAGTTTTAAGGAACAGTACTTAGTACAAGTCCCTTTTACTATGATCAGTTACTAAAGATAAGAAAAGTTCTGTAGAAATATACGACGGAATATGTTTGGACTGTCATGTGAAGTACAATAGCATTAAAAGAGAATAATTTCTAGAATAAGGTTACATGTAACATTGACTTGGGGTTTTGGGCCAGCTTATAGGGCTAATGAGAGTACGAAACTGCAGAGTCTAAGGTGTTCAAGCTTGATGGATATTTGGATTTCGGATTTGAGGAGCTGACTTGAAATAGATGTTTCTCCTGGGGATAGTACGATATGAGCATGGTTGATCTTGAGTGGGCTGGCTCAACTAGTTTTTCTCTTCGGGATTCTTCTTGTTACGAGTAATATTTTGCTTTCACAGGAAGGAAAAAAAGTTGAAGAGTTTGGCCATCCTTTGATTTTTTTTTTTTCAAGTAAAAAGACATTAATTTATGCTGTAATACTTTTATTTTGATGGGGTATTCCGTATTCAGATTCACGAACATACGATAGAGTCAAATTGGTGTGAGGTACCAAAAATATCTTTCATGATTGCTTGCGTATAGGAAGCATCTCTCTCTTTTTCTCTTTATATATACAATAAGTTATAACGGGATGCTATATTAAAACTAGAATGTTCGTGTAGTTTTATCAGAAAATCATAATGTGGATACCACCGAGACACGTAATCACATGTTGCAGAAAGCATGTGTCTTGAGAAAAAATTAGAACAGGATAGCAAGGAGTCAAATGTCAAAATAGAGAACATTAGGATGCCATAAGTCTAACATTATCTAACAAAAAACAACCAGTTTCTAGAATGTAGTTATGTTGGAATAGTGTATACTAATAATTCTAGCGATTATACCTGATGGCTTTAATTCAGTATGAGAAGAAAGTATTTAAGCATCGATCTGAATGAAATAAGAACCTGTAAATATTTTTGTTAAGTTATCAATGGGTTTCAAGAATTTTGGAGGCAATTTGAGTTATTGGAAACTAAGTGAACTGGTAACTTGCGTTTGTCACCATTCAGGGTTGGTTTATGGGAACTGGTAACTTGGTTGGGAAAATATCAATCCAAGGTATATCTGCATTCTGACTGTGTAGCCTTCCTTTAAGTGCAATATTTGAACATTCAAGCAAGTAGTATGTCATTATGAGAATCAACTATTTATGTTTTGCATTATGATTTTCTCATTTCATTTGCAACTTATTTGTAAGAAAGATTCATTTGAAGTGTCACTCTCTGTTACTGCACTTGCTTTACCTCCCCACTCAATCTCATAGCAATTGTAACATGATCTGGATTTTTTAAACAAAGTAGCAGGGTAAAATTTCTTCAAGCAATGCAGCTCATTTAATTTGCTGCAGGATAACAGTCTACCTAATACTTCCTAATGCATTTAATTGTGTGCGTCTTTTTAAGTTCTTGTAGAAACTAAAAACCATCTCATAAAAAATCTTTTAGTCTATATTTTTTTCTTGTTACATCCTTTTATATTTTGCTAAGTTTCTGTTTTTTGGTATAATCTAGCCTAGATTGGTCAAACTGAGTGCTAATCACCATTTCCAGAACCCTTTTACTCTTCCTATTTGTATTCACTAGATTTCTTAACAAGTTCAAAGTTGGGAAGTCAGTTGATTGAATTTTAGCAATGCAGGTCTGCCACATTCTAATACTCATTCAAGAGGGGTCCCGATTTGATACTCAGATGCTGAAAAAGTTCCGCATTCTGCAAGCTGCTAAACATACGATGGCTCCATTCCTAAATTTACAAAGTTTGCCATCCACAGTATCTAAGCCACGGTCTTCGGTTCATCCAAGGATACCTCTTCCCAATAATCCTTCTCCCGGTAAAACCCGAGGGATCCTAAATCGCAATGTAACTGTGATGTCGGGTTTAGGGTCTTCGAATACCTCATTTTTACCCGGTCAATGCACCCCAGTTGTGCTCTTTGTTTTTCTTGATGAGTTCACTGAGGCTTACCCTAGTGGAAATTTGGACGGGCCTCCAGAGGCCTCATTGACCGGTTTGTCCAAACCGGGCCCGCCTCTGAAAGGCCCAGGCCCTGTTGTCGTACTTGCACGGCCCACGAACAAATTTGAAGGTGGGCTTCGTAAGAAGTTACAATCTTCCCTCGAGGCACAAATTCGATTCTCAATCAAAAAATGTCGAACACTCGAAAGCGGAACGAGGGATGGCCCTCCTTTTACTGGCTCATCATCTCCTTTATTTTCACTGGACTCGTCAAAAGCTGTCTCGCTTGTGGATGCTCGTTCGTGCATGAGTGGCGAGTCTCTTGAGTTTGCCATTGGTCTCGTTGAACAAGTGTTGGATGGGAAAGCCACACCAGATTCCCTTCTCCTCGGGACCCATGGAGAAAACATGAAAAACGAGGGCATTCTATCTGTGAAGGATTTCATTTACAGGCAGGCCGATCTTTTAAGAGGGAAAGGTGGTTCAGCAGCTGGCTCGAGCGGCGTGGGCTTGTTTGTCGCCGCAGCTGCTGCGGCCGCCGTCTCAGCCACCTCGAAAAAGATGCCACATACGCCCGAGCTCCCTACTTTTGAGACATGGTTATCATCCTCTCGCTTAATCCTTCACGAAATTCTTTCTGAAAAATGCATTTCACAAGCAGATGAAAGTGGACAATTTGAGTCAGCAGTGTCTCCTTTGGGAAGTGGTGTAAGATTCAACATTAAATATTCAACGACTTGGTGTGAAAAATCCTTCCCAGTTGCCAAAGGGATTTACTTAGATAATCTGCCCTCTTGCTATCCGAGTTCTCAGCACGAGGAGCATCTAACGAGAGCCTTGCAGGCCCTTTCCTCATTGGCTAAAGGGCCTGCCGTGCGGGTGTATATGGAAAAACTGAAGAACGAATGCACATCCATCTGGGTTACGGGAAGGCAGTTGTGTGATGCGGTGAGTCTCACTGGGAGACCCTGCGTTCACCAAAAACACGATAAGGAAACTCTTTCGGTGGATGAGATCAAATATCATTCGAGTGGGTTCGTGTACCTTCACGCCTGTGGCTGTGGACGCACGAGGCGAATTCGGCCCGATCCGTTTAATTTTGAAACAGCGAATTCTGTTTTTGATGCTTTTGCCGATTGCGATAAACTTCTTCCCTCTGTTGAGTTGCTGCCCGGAAGCATTGATGGGCCCATCCGGGCCTCATCTTGGAAGTTGATCCGCGTGGGGACTGCAAAGTACTATGACCCCTCCAAAGGTTTAATCCAGAGCGGGTTTTGTTCGACACAAAAGTTTCTCCCCAGGTGGACTCTATTTCTCGAGAAGCCAACAGAAGAAGGTAATAATTCTGGGAAAGTTTCCTTGGATAAAAGAATTGTAAGAGTTGAAAACAATGTTGATGCAGACAGGCAGACACACAATGAAATCGGGGCGAAAACTAATCTATCATTAGATATCTTTGTTAGCGGTGGCAATAATTCAAATGCTAGTAGAGGGTTGACTAACTTTACAATGAGGAAGCCATTTTCTGAAGTTGTTGCTGGAACAGGTTCTGCCAGCTCAGCATTTCCCCCCCTTCTGGCTAGGAGACAACCTGTACAAGATACTACCGAAAAGGGCGTTAGACTACATCACGGACAGCATCGGGTTCTTGATAAGTCTGGTCAGAATGATGGAAGTCCATACTCTCAAATGGTTGGAGATATTGATTCAGTTGATCGTGATCTAGATAATGGCAATCAATTTCTGCACATTAGTAGCACCTTAGTTCCTTCAAATATGAATAGTAAGGAACAAGTAAAGGCTTCTGGTGTAATGAAGCATGTCACGGTTTATGTGGGGTTTGAACATGAGTGTCCCCATGGCCACAGGTTTATTTTAACTGAGAATCATCTTAGTGAACTTGGTCCTGCATGCTCAGATGCTGAAGATAATGTTGTTCCTTTACCAGTGGAAAACTCAGACAAGAAGCAGGATCAGGCTAAATTGGGTAGAAGTGGCGGGCAGGGTAGAAACCGGCGACGGTCGAATGGAATAATTACAAGTGTTGGTGGCGAGAAAACGAAGAATCTGGAAAAATCGCGAGAAAAAATGCCCAATGGGAACATGTCTTTCAATAAGTCTATGAAACCAACCAGGCAAAGCAAGGATCAGAATGAGAGAACAAAATTTATTGATTTACTGAGAGACCCTGATTCCGATAATAAACCAACAAATGTTGATGGTGGTGGTTGTGCTTTTACATTAATCAATAGGAATTTGCCAGTATATATGGAATGTCCGCATTGTAGAGACTCTGCTACCAAGAATGACGTGTCAAATCTTAAATTTGCAGGCAATATTTCACAGCTGCAGAGGATCTTTGTGGTATGCATTTGTTTTTGCACTATATTACTAACATCTGATGATAAATGACTTGATTGAGAGAATACTATGGTATCCAAAGCATTCAACTCCTTTTTGTCGTTTCATTATTTGTCGACCATATTTCTATCTTTTGTTATTGTACTGCTTGGATGATTTATGGCCCAACAGGTTTTCCTCCCTTTCTTTAATGCTAGTTAACCAAATATGTCCACTATTTGGTAGTAAAACAATCCAGTATATGGATATACTAGATCTTATTAGCCAATTTAAATCAGAAATGGCACACTCGTCCTATCTCAATATACACTTGTAAGTAACATATGAAAATGCCAGTGCCATCTTTCGCTTAAAACATTTAGTATAGCCTTGTGCCCAACGAGCAATAGGGAACATTTTTTTATGTACTTTCACAATATCCAAAATTGTATGTATGACATGGACAACATTTTTTTATGCGGCCAATCTCATTAGTTATTTTGTCCTCCCACTTTCCATGATACTGGATGTTTTTTATCATTCGTTTATTTACATTGCTTAGGAGCTGTTCAGTTTACACTTCATATCTGCTCATACTGAGATAGCCCTTTTCCAACACAAAAGAAAGCTAGAAAAAAGCTTGTACTGAATATCCTTTTTGATGTGCAGGTAACACCTTCATTCCCTGTTCTCTTAGCTGCAAACCCAATTGTACAATTTGAGGTGCGTACAGTACGTAAAATTGCTTTCTTCTGCTATTACATTTATTGATGACTGATATTACTTCCTATCAATATTTATTTTGTCAGGGGATATGACTATTATGTATCTTAATTAATTTTGGTTCACCGCTTAATGCATTAAGTTTAACGAAAAAACTTATTCCAGTTGTCTTAATGCATTATGTTTAACGACAAAACTTATTCCAGCTGTCATGTCTACCTCCCACGATTCCTGATCGCGAAAGAAAGCTGCAGTTTAGTTTGGGCTGCCCAGTGATTCTGCCACCTGATAGTTTTCTCTCTCTAAGTCTCCCTTTTGTTTATGGCATAGAATTGGAGGATGGAAGTGTACATTCTCTTACACCATTCGAAAATCAACCTCAGATGACTGCCTGTATCGTGAAAGGGACGGCTTTGAGGGTAGTTTCCAACAGAAGCAATCTTGATCCAGCCTCAGTAACGTAATTTTAAGAGGGAGAAATAACTTGTGCTGCTATATTCGAATGATCCACTAATCTTGAGTTTATGTGCACTTGAAAAGTAAAGGGTTCATTTGGCATCAGGTGAGTTTTTGTGCTGGTTCGTGGTTTATTTACTGAAAGTGAAGGTAAGTGGGTGGAAGATTTATGAAAATGAAAGCTGAAATCTTTACTAAACAGGAAATTGGAAAATTTATGCATATTCTTCCGATATGTGAACTTCAAATTATTTAACTGTGTTAAAGAAATTGCAGAAATCAGGTTTAGTTGCCCATTTATATTTGCAAACGTAATTCATCTTGAACACATTGTAAACATGTGGGTGGACTTTCTATATTTTCTGTTAGTATGCTATCGTATTGTACTATTTAAATAAAAAAGATACATTATGTTACATTTATCCGTGTTCTTTGAGATTTCTTCTCACATTTTCTACTCGCAATTAAGAAAAAGGTTTGTCAATTGAATGCAAGGAGTTTTAAGTTCTCATTATCTTTTCTCTTAGTTTTTCGGCAACTGTGCTTTTGACAGAGAAAGTCGGATCACTAGAAGGTTCCTTTTCTGTTGGATCAGCAAATGGGTAGGCATATGCCATCCCTTATTCCTTTTTTTCAGAAAATAAAAATAAAGAAAAGCAGAAACTTTTGCAAGTTGATTTTATATTTTCTCATTATGGGCAATGAAGAGTTATTCAGTTATCTAAAACCAGCTATTATTTTTCAGGTTTTTGCATCAAGCTTCTATATGATTGAACCCTGGGATTTGTTGGTCCAACTGTCCAGGCACTCATATGTATGTAAGCTTTTATTCAGTTAATGTCTCAATTTTTCCTCTGATCATTTAGTTCTGCTTTGAGTGTTCTATGTATCTCTGTCTAAACATGTTTTGTAAATGAAAAGTTTGATTGTCCAGAAAGTGAAATCAGGTTCCTGTGAACAGAATCCATAAGAGTCAAACTAGAAATGCAACATAAATATTATGTGGAACTAGACAGTTAATGAGGCTTATAGCCTAATTACAAGAAACACTGGATGTATATCAAACTTACAACTATAATTTTAGCTATATAGTATTAGAAGCCTTGTCTTTGCGGTTTTGTATTTACTTAGCAAGTATTCCGTCTTAAGGTTGCAGAGTGAAAAATAGAGGGTAAATTACATTATCATTTCATTAAGATAGATATAATTATTTTTTTATTGCATATGTGTTGTAGGAATATCAAATGAAAAATCATCATAACTCAAATGATGAATAATTTGATATATTGTATATGAAAAATTGATAACAAATAAAAAAGTTACTAAAATTTGAAGTATATTTATAATTTAAGTTACCAAGTGTTTTATAATTTCAAAAGTCCTGGTAGACATGTATTAAAGTTCAGTCATATACTTTGATACACAAAAAAAACGACACATAGGATTACGAAGCACCAAAATTTGACACTTAGGCTGGGGAAACTCTGCATTTATATAAGGGGAGGAACCAAAATAAAAAACGTAAGAAGTCTTAAAATTAATGCAAAAAATTCAGGATGTTGGAAATCGTGTTGAACAATTTGATAATTTGCTAAAAATATCCCAACGTCTGAAAATTTTAGAGTAGAAAATAGCAATATATCCTAGACCCCGTTCATTAAAGTCCAATAAAGTATTGATAAAAAAGAAAGAGAAAAGGCACATCTAAGGCCCTGAGATGATCCCCACAAAAGGGTAAATTGCTCGGGCAGGTTGCGGGTTGAAACTCGTATTCAGAAACCTCGGGCAGGTGGAGGATAACTGTCCTTTACAGGGACTGAATTCAGTTAATAACTTGTGTTAGGAAACGGAAAAAAAAAAATGAGAAAGATTAAGAATCAGAAGAACAAGAAATTGTTGTTGAGGATCCAAGCTTTATTTGGAATTTACCCATGAGCCATGAAGTAATAACTAATGTGAAGGGGTGTTATTTGATGTTTTGGAAAACATTTGACTTTTTCTTTTGCTTCCTTTTAGTTAGACAGTCTTGTCCTCTGCTGTAAATTTCGCTATTAAAGTTAAAATTGTCGTAAAAATGTGAAGGGTGTTATTTGATGTTTTAGAAAACAGTTGATCTTCTTCTACTCCTTTTGCCTTTTAATAAGACATAATGGGCCTCTACTGCAGATTTTGTTATGAAACTTAAAATTTATCTAGTTGAAATGTTTCTTAACATGAACCGTTTACATCCTCCATATGTCATATTACAGGCTGACATTTTCAACATCTTTATTTTTATTTATATATATTTTTCGCAAAAAGAAGTTCGTCCAACCATTCTGGCATGTTCACTGATTTTAGTTGCAGTAAGATCTTGTCCAACTGTGCCTGTTAATGCCATTTTCAGGCAGCGTGATATTCAATATTTGTGCCGTGTCTCGGGCTGTCTATTTCTGATCCGATCACATGAATGGTGGGTGGCCTCCGAAGAAAATTTGTCAACATACTGGGCCATATATATACTGGACTTTTGTAGCCGAAAGAAGACTTTTGCTATGGATTTGAAAGGAAAAGCGTCGTATCTGGTTAGCAGCTATCAATTCAACTATTATGGACTTTGTTATATGGCTCTATCTTTTGTATCCCAAATCTACTATGTTGTGAGTCGAGCTGGCTCTTAATTTAAGTTCATTAAACTTGCTTACAGTAAGGGTGATGGAAAAAATATTGTCTGGTTGGTTAGTTTCTTGAACAATGTAGTTGTTTTGTTGAACTGAAGCTACAAATTTGCTTGTTTGGTGTGCATCCAATTGGCTTCGGCCCCAAATATAGACATTTTTCCTTTGAATTTTATGAGGGCAAAGAATAAAAATAAACAACAATACTTTTTTCAGTGAATAAATGTTATTACATCTGGATGGACCTGAAAAAGTTTGTTTGTTTGTTTTTTGTTTTTTTTTTTTCAAACGATTAATATTATTATTAAACCACAACAATATACAACCGCGTCCCGGGGGAATCCAAAGTCGGTTCCCCCTCCGAAGCCAACATGGCTAATCTATCACCGGTAAGGCAAGAAGACCCTACTACAAATTTTGCAGAAATTAAGTCTGTTAAGTAATACATAAATATCACAAACAACATTATCCATCTTAGAAGAAGGAGATACAAGGCTTTTAGAATTCAGCTTGTCCACCACTTTGAGAGTTTAGGCATCCAACCATTGATTCCCATCCCTGTTCAGCTGCCACACTCAACATCCACCTAGTTGCCAAGTACCAAGCTTGTCCACCACTTCATTGTCTCTTATTGTTGTTCCACCGATTCCTACCTTTCCCATTTGAGAGGTTAGAGTACTGACCGTGAACTCCACAAGTCGTACCCTTTTGGAAAAATCCTCTCTCTGTTACTCTGAAGGAATATTTGAATTCAGTTGATTCAAATTCAGTGGACGTGCAAAACTTGCTATTTGTGTGTTAATTTAGGCAAAATTGCAATTTTAGTCATGTTGGTTTGATCCACTGGCGTTTTTAATCCTAAGAATTAAACATTTTGCTATTTGGTCTTATGATTTTAACATTCAAGGCAATTTCAGTCTTTTGGGACTGAAAATGAAACAAAATTTAAAATTACAAGACTTAAATTGCTAATAGAAATCTTGTAATTTTATTATTATTTTTTATTTATTTATTATTATTATTTTTTTTTTTTTGCAATTTCGGTCCCAACAAAGTATTAAATTACAAGATCAAAAGCCAAAAATTTTAAATCTTGAAACTAAAAATTTTACAACATTAAACGAACAGGATTAAAAATTCAATTTTATCGTTAATTAATTAAATATTTAAAACCACAATGTAGAAGCATCGAGAGGGAGCAAAATTAAAAATAATAATAATAAAAAAAAAAAAACTTGTGTTGACCGATTATCTGACTCTGCTTTTAGTCTTTTAGATTATCTGCCTAAAAGATGAAATCAGATTATGACTAAAGAATATTTCAATTTTCAAGTGATAACTTGAAGCAACAAGCAATGACACCATAACCTAATCTGCAAGTTGTACATTTTTAATTATTTTACTATAAATAATATTGAAAGGTAATAATTCTCTCCTTTTTATATACGCCACGCAAATAATGCATCTAAATATCTATATGTACTAGTACACGGATGCTTGCTAATTTTTTCCTTAAAATCTAAACTAACGAGAAATAGTTGAAAATTAAAATACTTTTATAAATATATATATTATTATATATATATTATTATATATTTAGTATGAAACATTTTATTTGTGCGACTTACCTGTGTTATATATAATAATTTTTTAACTTACAACATATAACTATATTAAACATAAATATATCAATTGAGAAATAGTTTTATTTTTCTAATGAATTTTAATAAATATTATAAGTTTTATTATATCGATAAATATAATTTATTTATTTCATATATACAATATGGATGTCAAATCGAACATCATCAAAAGATGATTAATTTGATATATTATATATGTAAAACCGATAAGAAATACAAAATTTATCAACTTTTAAAATACATTTATAATTCAATAGCTAATTGAAGGAAACAAATTAAAAGTCAGAGATATATTAGTCACTTAGTACTCACTATGTAAAATCGCAAAGAATTAAAGGGTTATATTAGTACAAGTGATATTAAAATAAATACATAAGTTACCTAAATAATATTTATGGAATGTCCTCACCTAGATTATTAATTATTAATATATTAATATTATTTGTCCAAACCTAATTACGAAGCATGATTTTTCGCCGAGTATGATTCCGAAGCACCAGAAACATCTACGTAGACTCGCATTCGGAAATTATATATAAGAGGGATAAATTATATATAAGAGGGATAAGAGGGATATCATTTTCTATTTTTGAAATAGTTGTGTGATTAATAATTAAATTATAAAACGTGGGGAGGTGAGTACATCAATCAACTAATAATACAGACAAAAACGTACTAAAAGTCTAAAAGAAATTGCTCCTCCCACCAACTGTTCCACAAATGATTAACCGGACGTTGTATTCAATCTGAAAACTTGAGTTTAAACAGATGGTATTAAGAGTCCACAGTTAAAGACAAGCATATTTTACAAAATCAAAATTACATTTTTAGAGCATCTTTAACAATAATTTATCGTAAACCTCCTTTTACACTTCTTTATATGTCACATCATTTAAAATTTAATTCTTGCTCCGAGACACACAAACCTCCAATAACAATAAAACACATAAACCTCTTTTTTATGAGTTCCACATGTTTTCCACTTTCTTTTACTTAATATATATTTTTTTAAATTTTTACTAATATTTAAAATTATATCTCCAATTTATATTTTTATTCAATTTAAATGCTTTATATATTTATCATAAATACAAGTAAAAAATAATATACTTATATATAGAGTTTTTTCAAAGTAGAACGAACGTCAACAAATATTTCTCGAACAAGATAGAAGGAAAAATTTATTTTAATTATATTTGTTTGTCTTATTATTTACTGTAAAATATTTAGAAAAATATAATATTATTGTAAATAATATTACACTATTCGATAAAATATAATATCATTGTAAATAATATTACACTAATGATTATAATTATAGTATACGAACTACATGATGATTCAAATTTCAATAGCACAATAAAATGAAATTTATACTTGTATGATTCTTATTGTGTTACAAAACATCATCAAATTTTAGTTCCATCTACTGTGGAGACTTTTCTCTTTCCTAGAAATTTCACAGTTCCACTCATGTGGATTATTCATCTTATTCTCTTCGTTCATCTTCTTCGCTTCGTTGTTTCTTCTTCTTTCTCCTTTTGTCTAGTATCGTTGCTCGAGCCTTTTATAAACCATCCCTTGTCTTTCCATTGAGAGATCGTCTGAGTGTTATTTCTTGGGGAGGGGTAGGGTTCTTTTGTGGTGCGATACTTTGCGATACTAGGGTTCGTGGCTGGGTTTGTTTTAATCGATCGGATTCCTCAGGTTTGCACAGATCTGGTTCAATTGAAGCTGATTATGGAGCAGGAATTCATAGAGAAGTTGCATAAATTCCAATTGTCGAACAAAGAGAAAATGGGTGTTACGCTCGACCAGCAAGATGTGGAAACAGGCATTCAAGAATGCGAATTAAGCTTGATAGGGAAGATAATTGAGGAGAAAAAAGTAAATCTGGTGGGATTTCAGTCAACATTAGGAGGCATTTGGAGAACAAAGCGCTCTTTTTCAATTAGGGCAATCGGAGTTAACCTCTTTCAGTTCTTATTTCAAGATAGGGACGACATGCAAAGGATTCTAAAAGGGAAGAATGGTTGTTTGACGGACAGTACTTGCTGCTGAAGGAGTGGGTAAAGAACAACATGGAATTTCGCAAGGAGGAATTGAAGGTGATGCTATGAGTTCAAATTCACAATTTGTCGTTGCATTAGATTTCAGCTGAAGCAGGGATGAAAGTGGGAAGAATATTTGGGAAAGTGATTGATGTTGTGGTTCCGGTGGTGGGAAATGTCAATGGGAGAATTGTTAGGATTTTGGTGGAGGTGTCAGTAACAGATCCATTGCCAAGGAGAACTACGATCAAGTTGGGTGCTGAGGAAAGGTGGATCGACTTTAAGTATGAAAACTTACTTACCTTCTGTTTTTACTGTGGAGTCATTGGACACAATGATAGAGCATGTGAAACTAAAAGGTTAGATGTTCAAAGAAATATGCTTAAATCTGGACAATACGGGTAATGGTTAAGGGGATCATTTGGGGGATTAGGGGAACCTAAGGATAAATTATCTTCAATCCCAGGTAGGGATAAACCAGTGTCTGATGCTAGTATTGAGAGAGAGGAGAGTGGGGGAGTAGGTATTGGTAGGAGTGGTCAACTGTCGAATGTAGTTTTGTCACAGGATCATGGTGATCCTTTAGATAAACCGTAGTAGTGCAAGTGCTTGTAGCCCATCAACCAAGGCACTTGTTGCTGACAACAAGGGGGTCAGCCGAGTTGCACTGGGAATAAGATTGAGGCTGTTGTTTTGAGTCCTATGGAGCTGGACTCCAGTTGTGGGAAAAAGGGAGATGAGTCTAGCCTGGTAGATGTTCCTGTAGGTGATTCTCTTATTCAAGAGTCAGTTATTAGTAAGAAAAAGAAGTCTTTTGTAAGAGTACCTAGAAAGATAGAGGCAGATTCTAAACTTAACCTAAGTGCTGGAAAACCACGCTTAAATATGGACAATAAGGATGCTTGTGGATAAAAAAAAAAACCTCCTGAGAATCCCTTTGAGGGGAATCAGGTTGTTCACATTGACTTTAAAATACAAAAAAACAAATGTGATTGAAGTTGAAAAAATGGTAGAGGAGACCAGCCAGAAGTGGTCCACCAAGTCCAAATGAGAGTTATGGTGTGGAATTATAGAGGTCTGGGAAGACCCTCTACAATTCCCCAGTTGAAGGCTAAGATTAGAGCCTACCTTCCAGACTTTATATTCTTATATGAAGTGAAAAAGAAAAAAGTTTTTGTCAGCACAGTTTGTAAAATGTTGAAGATAGATCGGAGTTGGTGAATCCTATAGGTACTAAAGGGGGTCTTCTATTATGTTGGTCTAAAAAAATTTCTATTATTAAAATCTTGCCATTAGATTTTTGTTTTGAAGTTTGTTTTTGTTATGAAGTGGACAGTGATGTTTTGTGGGCTATTTTTGTGTATAATAGTATTGATATGGCTGAGAGGCATATTCAGTGGTCCCAACTGTACAATTCTAGTGTTAACTGGGGTAAGATATAGTTTTTGGCTGGAGATTTTAATGATATCTTGTGTAGTGAGGATTAACAGGGTGGAATTCCTAGAGGGGAGTCTAGTTTTGCTGTATTTAGGAATTTTGTGAATAATTTGGGGGTGGTAGAATGTCCAGGTAGGGGTCATCCATACACATGGTCTAATAATTGAAGGGG